CCTGTCCAATTAAGGGTCTGGTTTGGTAATTTTAGGGGGGGGCCACTTGTTTCCCCTCATTATTTTGGGGTGGAGTTCCCCCTTAAAATTCCTACCACACCTAAAGAGCCTGGTATGACGTTTCGGGGGAACCCCACACATTTTTTTTGTTTTTTAACTTGGGGGGGGGGGTCGTCCCTCCAACCGAAAGGGTCTGGTATGGACCGCATGCCGTTTTTTATTTCTTTCTTTTTTGGGCAGACTTTTTTTCTCCCTGAAGCATATGCATTCGCTTGGCTGAGCTGTTCGGCTGCTGTATTGGCTATTGTGTATAGCCCGTAACGGCCATGCATGCAGCACGGAGCTGTATGTGCCGGCCTTTTCTCGTGTGAATGAGGCCTAAGAGTTCATCCTATTGTGACTGTTCTCTTTCTATCTGCATGCTTTTTGCACTGATTAGCTCCTTCTCCCTCCCCCTTTCTGAGCTCTGATGCACAGAAACTGCAGGTAGCTGATACAAAGTCAAATTCAGGTACATGCTCTTATTTTAAAATTACACTTAATGATGTAGTAGTGGTTACAGAGCTACAATCATTTTCACATTTTAGATCTGCCTGGAGGTATAGTGTTAAATATGAATGTTCACCCTAAGCAAACTTGCCAAGAAAGAAATATGACAACTTCCACTGCAGACCTTTTTTAAAAAGATTTAAACTCCAGAGCTGTCATCCTAAAGGTATGCAATCACGTTTTCGTCCGATATTCGTACGGTTGATGGGCAGTGTACAACCGCAAATACTGTACAATCGATCAACTTTTGACTAACCAGTAGGTTAGAAAACTTTGGTCGATCGTATGATTTTCGGAAGGTTGGTGGAATTTTTGTACGGCAAAATTTGGACGATTTGGACATGTGCAGACGAAAATATGTTCGGTCGATTACCGCAATTCATCCAGGTGCTGTCTAATCATTACCGCTGATCCAACCTTGCGATAATCGGGGCAGGGTAGGGCTGCCGTACGAAAATTGTACGACAGTTTCATCATCGGACGATAAGTGTCGTCCGATGATCGCAAGGTGTATGGGCAGCCTTATTCTTCCTTTGCTACTTGATGAGCCAAACACAATTTACATGTGTGTCAGGTCTGTAAGATTTCTCAGAAATTGAAGATTAAAAAGGAAAGAGAAAACCAAAGGGAAGAATCATTTAGGAGCTCCGCAACCATTATAATGATATTACAAAAATATATCTGTTTCCATGCGGACATTTGGTTTAAGCGTAAAAACATTTGATTACAACTAAAAGCAAAATATGTGACATACAATACGAAAACAAATAAAAATAAAGAAAATAGAAC